TTTTCTTTCCTTTTTTTTTGTGGTACTGGAGTTTGAACCCAGGGTCTTCACCTTGAGCCACTCCACCAATTCCTTTTTTGTGATGGGCTTTTCCTGGGATAGGGTCTCTCAAACTATTTGCCCGGGACTGGATTTGAACCATGATCCTCCTGATCTTTACCTCCTGAGCAGCTAGGATTACAGGTGTGGCTGGCTTTTCTGTCAGTTGGTCAGCTGGGAATTCAAGGACTAGGACACACATCCAGACTAGACTCCAGAATTTGCATCCTCTGCCCAACAGGCATTGAAAAGAGCCACATCGGCTTTCTGGTGACAGAGGGTATGTGCCCATGTGTGTATCTGTGGAATATGAAGAGGGAAGCCATGTAGAAGTGGTGGAGTTGGATTGCTCCCCAAATCCCTGCACACAGAGCCAAAGGCCGTCACAGGAAGAAAGAGGCAGGCAAGGGGCTGAGTAGCCCACCCATGAGAAATGAGAGAGAGGCCCACAGCGTGTCATGGTCAGAACTCAAGAGGTCAGGAGCTGGCCTGGGAGGACAGTGGCTGCCAGAAAAACAGGATTAACCAGAAGCCAAAAGGGAAAGAGCTTTCAAGAGGCCAAGAGGGTGGGGAAGAGAGGAAATAGCTGGACTCAAGGGTGGAAGATGCGAAGGCTGGACAAACACCTGTGTGCCCTGGAGATGAGCTGCCTGTGGGTACGAGTAGAGTCTGACAGAGAGCCAAGCCTCAGGCAAACCTGTCCCTCACTAGACATAGCTTGCTGAGCTGGTAACAAGCTCCAAATGCTTGGTCCATCTAGGGGCAAGTAGTCTCAAAGTGTGGTCCTCCTACCAGCTACATTTGGCTCACCTGAAAAGCTGTTAGAAATGCAAATTTTTGGGCCCCACCTCTGATCCACCACTCTAGACCAATGTTTTGTCCCCTCAACTTTTTTGGTGGTGGTGGGACTAAGGTTTGAACTCAGGGCTTTAAGCTTGCAAAGTAGGTACTTTACCACTTGAGCCACACCTCCAGTCCATTTTGCTCTGGTTATTTTGAAGAAAGGGTCATTTGAACTATTTCCCTAGGTTGGCTTTGATCCTCGATCCTTCTGGTCAGTCTCCCAAGTAGCCAAGATTATAGGTACAAGCCACTGGAGCCCAGCTTGTATCGCCTTAATTTAACTCAGTGTGCAGGTGGGCAGATGGGGACTCTAGGGAAGTAATTAAGGTTAAATGAGGTCATGAGACTGGGGCCCTGATCTAATACGGTCAGTGTCCTTATAAGAAGAGATACCAGAGAGCGCTTGCTTGTGACCACTCCTCTCCCTCTCCCTCTCTGCATTCTCAGAGGAAAGACCGTGAGGACAAAATGGCCAATTGCAAGGCGGGAACAAAGCCCTTGACAGAGCCCAAACCTGCATCGAATCCTGATCTTGCACTTTCCAGCCTCCAGGCATAAGGAAGAAATGCTGTCGTTTAAGTCCCGGCCTGTGGTATTTTGTCACAGCAGCCCTAGCAGACTAAGACACTGACTGAACAGGAACGTGAGGGCAGAGTCCAGGCAGCTGTGCATTACACAGCTCTCCCAGCGACTGTTACACAAGCTCAATTTTGAGAAATGCTGGTCTAGCCCTGGGCAGAACCCAAAAGCCTTGAGTGCAACTCAGGCAGCATTTCCTGGAGTGCCTTGGAGAACAGAGATGAACATTCCCAGGCCAAGAAACTCACAGTAGAGAGAGGAGAAAGGGAAAATAGATAACAATGACAGAGGACAACAGGAGCCATGACAAGCAGGAGGTGACCTACCAGCTGAGCCTGAAGGCTGCTTACACCAGCAGCAGAAGGAAAAGACAGCCACAAACCACAGTATGTCTGCCAGGAAGAGGGCCCCTATTTTCACCTCATGAGCTGGCAGTGCTAAGATGGGCAGGGCTTTGCTTCTACTGAGGGTTACTCCAGAGACAGACGAAGAACAAGCCTGAAGACTTGCACAGAAAAACTGGCAAACAGCAGCACCAATACTATCATGAAAATCTGTTTCTAACTGGATACCAGCCCACTTTTATTTTTTATTTATTTTTTGGCAACATTAGAGTTTGAACTCAGGCCTTGCACTTGCTAGGCAGGTGCACTACCATTTTTGAGCCACGCCCCCAGCCCTTTTCGCTTTTAGTTTAGTTTTTGGGTAGGGTCTTATGCTTTTGGCCAGAACGGATCTCACGCTGTGATCCTCTTACCTTTTACCTATGTAGCTGGAATTACAGGTGTGTGCCACCATGCCCAACCACAGCCACCATCTTTATGTGCTGATGTTGAAATGTGATATAATAAAGGCCCTTCCACTATACCTTGGTAAATGGAGGAGGTAAGTAATATTTAGTGTTTTCCAATTTCCACAGTATAAATACTTCCTCCGTGGCCAAACTCAAATTACCAACCTGGTGTCTCAGAACATGGAGCTGGGAGGCGACCACAGGTCACCACATGTCTTTAAACCCAATTTCATTTTTAAGAATTCCTGGCCCAAGCCAAAATAGCATTCCTGAAAAGGTGAACAGCATCCAACCCAGTACCATCAAATAGATCAATGCACAAAAATAAGTGGTCAAGAGGAAAAAAAAGTTCAAATATCACAGAAAGAAAGAAATTTCACAAAGAAACTTCAAGGAAACCATCATGTTAGCGTTTTCTCACTTAACTTCTTAAGCCACACAATGGACCTCTTTTTAAGTTAAAAAGACAAGGTCTTCATTTAAGCCTGTAGCCTTCTCTCTCTCCCACAAGCATTTCTATACCCACATAGCCCCACTTAGGATGGTTTGACGCTCAAGCTTCTTGAACAACAGTGCAAAAGTGATCCAGCGTGGGTAGAAGCTGCACTTCTAACCTGATCTTTTCCTGGGCTGGTCATGTGTCGTTATGATACTTTGCTGGGTAGTGACAGCAACTCATAGCTCCCAGTGGGTCATCCCATCAAGAGGAGCAAGTGGGACTCCCTGGTGTGCTGTGTTGCTAAGCTATGATGTCCTCTGATAGGCTAGGTGTATCAGATGCATTTTGGACTGACAGTATTTCCACTTTAGGATGGCCTTATCAGGTGGTAACCCCACCATAAATGGAGCAACATCTGTAGCTACCATCAAAGTCAGTATCAAACACAGGAGGAAGTCACATCAGGAACTTCTCCTACCACCCTCCCATCTAATAATGTATGGCCACAGACATCTGGTGAAAGCGGCATGTGTACTGACTGTCCTGCTAGACGCTGGACCTTAAATGCAGGAAGCATCAGCATCCCTTGGATGCTTTGTCAAAACACAAATCCCTAGACTTTCCCATTCAATGAGTTCAGAGTGAGGCCTGAGAACCTGAATTTTTAACAGCTTCCCAGGTGCTGCTGCTGTTGCAGGCCTAGAGCTGCACTTTGAGAACCATGTTTTTAGACCAGCGCTGCCAGTAAGTCATCTGTCTTGAGGAAATCATAAGGCCCTACTGTGACAGCCATGAATGGACAGCAAGGAATCTTACACTTGCCTGGTGGCCTGCCAATCACTTACATACACAGACATGCATGAGCACGCACACACACACACACACACACACGTCTCTGAGGGCAGCCATGAATCTGTTCCCTGCTGAAGGTGCTAGCCAATAAGCATGGCTCTGCTTTCAATGGGCACCTCAAGATCCTCAACTTGCCACTCCTGTTAAATCACATTTCAGCCTCTACTGCCTGGATGAAGAGCCCCATGCCATCTGACAATGAAAGGAGTATAGGTCCTCAGAGGTGACATGGCCTGCTCACATTGGGCTCTGTACTTTTGACTGAACTTCATTTTCCCTGTGCCCCATTTCCAGGTAGGGACATGGAGGCTGGAGAGACACCTGGACTCTTAAGATAACTGGTAAAGCCTGGCTGCAAACCAGGTCACCTGCTGGTTCCTTATTTCCCTGCCCCCTCCTCCCACCCCCATAACATGATTCCTTAATGCTGAGCTTCTGGGGCCACCAGAATACAGAGAAACTGTTACTCCTCCTTGTTGCTCAGAGGCCATGCCAGCCTGTCTCCCAGCAGCCCAATTCCTCACTTCATGCCTGCTGGGAACTTCTGGGCTTCAAAGTTGAACAGCAGTGCCCTGGAGGTGCCCAGTGAGCACACACCAACCAAGCTAAGACTGCCTCAAGGCCACAGGGCTGGCAGGTGCAAAGGTGACCGGCATCGGCCCCGAATGCTTCTCAGAGCATTCACTGCATCCCTCTCTGTCTTACACTGGCCTGGAAAGCCCAGTTTGGCAGGGGCTCTCAGAGCAGTGCCAAGCCTGAGTCCTTCCAGCATGTTCGGAAATCAGCCCTGTGTCCAAACTGCTTCCTTTTACATCCCCGATGCTGTGTGCACAGAGACCAAATTTAAGACATTCATGTACCACAGCTAGAGAAAGGCCAGTGAATCTTAGAAGAAAGGCATCTTTTCTAAGCAGCCAGGGGGACATGAGTTGAGAGATTCTCTGTCCACTGCCATTTGGTGGCTCATGGGTCCTCCTTTCTCAAATACAGACTTCAGCATTTATTACAAAACCTTACACAAGAGACTTAACCTCTCCGGGCCTCAGTTTCCTAACTGTAAGTGAACTTGTGTGCATGGAGGATGGCTGTCAGAGGGAGGCCAGAGGGCCTGGCTCCAATAACCATCTTGCTGTCATTATTACAGAGGCCACGACCCATACGCAGTTGACTCACTTACGTCACAGCTGTCAGCTATACACAAATTAATGGAAGTTCTTTCTAACCAAGGGTCTGGTATACACAGTGTGTTTTCCTTGTAGAAAGGGAAAAGTGGGGCCCACTCCTATAGGGAGAGGCATGGAAAGACTCTAAGGGGGTCCTGCTAGGGTTTACCCAGGTGAACCCCCTTTCAGAAGAAAGCCACAGCTGAGCACTGGCCCCAGGGTCAGATGGAATAAGTGGGTAAAACCACCACTACCCAAACAAAAGCAGCTCAGCTGCCAACCCCACACTTACTTCCAGGACCGTCCATTGTTCAACGACAATAGCATCGTAGCCCTGCATGGTTTTGCTATCTTCTGTGGAAACAGCTTCAAAGATGAATACTCCATCTGTCAAGCCATGGAAGGAATCTGTGGGAAAAGGGAAAAACAGGGGGGCTGTGTAAGCCGTCTGTGGCAGAAGCCTCACCAGCAGCAAAAATTTTCACTGCATTCATTAATAATCCCAATCAGAACATCTTTTCAGCATGTTAATTAAAGAAGGCACACACAGCCATAGAGTCTAGCCCCATCAGAATGAATGAGACTAATTTGCCTCGCGGTTTTGAATAATATCCTTGATTTTATGAGCCCAAATTTCATTGTTAGCAATCACCGTCTGATTTCACCGCTTACCTTCCTTTTCACACTGCAACGTCAGGATGCACTAGGGAGAACTTATCCAGGGTAAAACACAGCCATTTAGAGACAGTTTTTTAGAAGAAAACTATATTTAGGAGAGAGGGATTTTCTTTTTTTAAGGCGGAAATAGACTGAACATGTCAGATCTGAGCTTGTCAGGCACCTGAGATGCGTTGATTCCTGGAGGTCTGCATGATATGGGCTGCGTATGGACGATGTTTTAGGCAGCTCTTGTCAAGAGGTGGGATCTGGGGGGAGGGGAGACTTCCCTCAAATGATTTACTGCTGAAAATGCTTCTTTGGGCATGGCTCTAGTCAAATTGTCTGGTTCTCAGTTCTGTGCGATTCAACAACTATTCACTATTCACTAGCTTAGGCAATGAGGATATGAAGAATAGGAGGGGGCCCCAGCCTTGCAGAAGATGTGCAGGGAGGCACCTTCTGCTATCTGTTGGCTCGTGGCTCCGATGTGTCCTAGATTGGTTTAGGTAAGATTGGGGGACAGAAGACTGATGTAGGTGCCCATGGCCTGGGTCCATGCCCAGTCCTGGGAAGTGCTGTGACTCTTTCAGGGCCTCTCATCTGTGAAATGGGGCTGTGAACAGATAATCCCTCCTGGCCCCCAAAGTCTATTCTGCTGACACTGTTCACTCACACTCCCAAATTCCTACACAGAAGCCCTAGCCCCCAAGGTGACTGTATGTGGAGACTGAGCCTTTAGAAAGGTTAGTAACTAAGGTTAGTCCAATAGGACTAGTGTCCCTGTAGGGGAGGAAGAGGTACCAGAGCCCTCTGTTGCTCCCTTCTACCCCCCAGGTGTGCAGAGAGGAAAAGCCATGTGAAGAACAGCAAGACAGTAGCTGGTGGTAAGCCAGAAAGAGAGCTCTCCCCAGAAAGTGAATTTGCTGGCACCCTGACCATGGCCCCTCTAGTCTCCAGAAATGGGAGAAAATCAATGTCTATTTATTCTTTGAGTCACCCTGTCTGTGATCCCTTTGGTTATGGCAGCCCTAGCAGACACACACACATACAAGGCCCATTTCAATGATATATTATTTTAAAAGGATAATTTTTAATAGGACAAATGTATAACTAGGTGACCCTTTTTTCCCACAGAAAGAGAAGGCGTCCTCTGAATCATGGTGGAATTCCTGGAACTGCTAGTATTTTCCAGAAGTCACAAAGGACTGACAAATGGGAATGCCTGCTCCTGTCTCCCCACAGATCCCATAAACAAAATTAAATGCCATCGACATGAGAAAGTCATCTGCAACAGCAAAAATAAAAGGCCAAGCTTAATATTCTTTATATGTAAAAAGCTTTTACAAATAAATAGTTAAAAATACTAAAATACTAGGCTAGCAGTGTGCCTCAAATGGTAGCATGCCTTCCTAGCAAATACAAGGTCCTGAGTTCAAACCCCAGCACTGCCAAAAAAAAAAAAAACAGAATAGAAAAATACTAAAATACCAATAGAAATAGACAAGGAGCATGAACTAGAAATTAATTCTTTCTCCATGGTCAGTAAATAGTGGGGAAAAAAAAAAATCAAGCCTCTCTTTTGTTTACCAAATTGGCACTTTGAAAAGAAAATGCTCATTGCTGGTAGAGGTATGGGCATGTGGCCATTTTAACTGCATGATCTTCCTAGAGAGAAATTTAATAACATCTGGAGTACCTTCCAGAAAAAAGTCTAGCCTTTTTTGACCACAAATCCTCTCTCTTTTAGTTCTGTCCTAAGGTAACAAGCACCAATGTCATCAAATATTCATCTACAGGCATTGCTTATAAAATTACATAAAAACTCAAAAAAATCTAAATGATCAGCAATCCAAATACTGAACCACACCAGGCGCCGGTGGTCACGCCTGTAATCCTAACTACTTGGGAGGCTGAGATTTGGAGGATCGTGATTCTAGGCCAGCCTGGGCAAATGGCTCGTGAGACATCCATCTCCAAAATAACCAGAGCAAAATGGACTGGAGATGTGGCTCAAGCACTAGAGTGCCTGCTTTGCAAGGGCAAAGCCCTGAGTTCAAACCTCATTCTTACTTAAAAAAAAAAAAAAAAAAAAGCAGTTGAATAAATCAAGTTTCCATACAGTTAAATACTATATTGTCCTGAAAAATATCATGGGAATTTAATGATTCAGGAGAATGCTTTAGACACAATTTTTTATTTTTATTTGCTTTTTTTCTAGTACTGGGGTTTGAACTCAGGGCCTCGTGCTTGCTTGTACCATGCCTCCAGCCCTTTAGGCACAATTTTATGGAGAAAAAAACAGGTTATGAAACTGGCATATTAGCCAAATGTGAGTTTTTATGTTAAAAATGTTTAGACAAATAAACTTTAAGAAAATACACCAAATACAAGAAAGAGTTATGAGTGGTGGAATTAAATATAGTTTGGATTTTCTTTCTCGTTCTCTTCTGCAAGGTCAATGGAAGAGTTAATACAGGTAAATAGACAACCCAGAAGAAAGTAATTTTCCTTTTCTCTGCTATGTGGCTCTTGAAGGCATAATTAGATAGATTCAAACTAAGAGGACACAATCCAAATAGAAAAAACCTCCACAGAAGAGTCTAGAAATAGAAGGCTGGCCTCAGAAGGCAAGCAGCGTGTTCCTGGGAGCACTCGAGGACCCCTGAACAATCTGTGGGTCCCTCACTCATTCACTCCCATGCCTGATCACAGGTCAAGCACTCTGTGGTCACTTGGTTACTGGAGGTCATGTGAATAGCAAGAGAGTCCCTGGCACTGTGGAGCTTACGTTGCAGTAGGTGAGGGGACAAAAACAGAGTGTCAGAGGTGACAAAAGCTATAGAAGCATGCAGCAGGCTAGGCAGTGTGAAGGTGGAGATGGTGGTGGGTGCTGAAAGGGGTGCTCAGGTTAGGGCTCCCCATTTTGGGAAGAGACATGAACAAACTAAGCAAGCAAGGGATAAGGATCCGCAAGGTTTGTGGGTTCCCAGTGGAGGGCAGGGGGACCAGCTGAACTGCAGAATCCTGACAGAAGAAGTCGGGACTGAAGGGACTGGTGGGGAGAAGGGCCAGCAAGGGGCTGATCCACATGGCTTGTTAGGCCAATGGAACACTAGCACTAGCAGTGACAGGCTAAGACCTGAAAAGTACATGTATGGTTGAGCTTGGCCTCTGTCTCTGCCACCACTTTGAGAGCACACATCCCAGCTAGCCAGCTAGTTCAGGAAGAGGAAAGACACATGGAACAGAACTGCCCAGTGGAACCAGCTTGGGTCTGCTGACCCAGAGATCTGTAAGTAAGTCCAGCTGAGACCAGCAGGGCTGCCAACGGAGCTACTCTAACCAACCAGAATATCTGGCAAGATAAATCTATACTCTCTTGAGCCACTGAGTTCTGGAGTGGTTTGTTACACAGCATTATTGTGGCAATAGCTGACTGACACAATGCCCAACCAAGACTAAGAAATATGAGACCAGTGTCCTTTGCTCAGCCTGGGGAGAGTCCTTATACCAAAATGACAGAGGCCTGGACAGCCCAGCCAACTATGACTATGAGGCAATTCCTGAAGCTCAGTGGCTTTTATTCCCACCCATAATACTCCATCTCCAGGAAATCCTGTGGGAAAGTCAATGCCATCCTTCAGTTTCCTACGTGTCTCCTATTCTGAGAGTCTGTTGTTCAACAGTCTTGGCAAGTGCTATCTGCCTCTCATCTACTTTGCTGACTAGTTTCCTCCAAGTTTTTGTTCACTGACCACCCAAGGACACTTTACACAGGTGACAGGGAGAAAGAGCTGCTCTCCAGGTGAACCACATCACAAGCATCTTGGGGTCCAGGACAAGCATAGAGCATAGTCCAGCTCAGTTTTAATTTCTCAGTGGCCCTGCAGGGTGGAGCCCTTGTCACAGGAGGGGGACCCTAAGCAGCGCCTTTGAAGAAAGCTGTCCCAACCCTGACCTGGGGATGTTTGGCCCCACGAGACACCCAGCAATGCCTTCAGCATGACTTCAACACAGCACAGATTAACTCAAGGCTTCTAGAAGGTGTGTTGCATAGACCATCCGTATCTGCAGGGTACACGTCTATAGAAAAACTTCAGGTAGAAAACAATTTTTTAAAATTCTGTACTCAACGTGAACACACTTTTCTCTTGTCATTATTGTCTCAACAATACAGCATAACAATTATTTACCCAGCACTTATACTGCATCAGGCATTGTAAGTAACTCAGAGATGACTTCAAGTACATAGGAGGATCTAGTTTGTATGCTGTCTTAGAGAGGGGACTTGGACACACAGAGGCTGGTATCCGAGGGGTTTCCTGGAACCAATCTCCCTCAGATACTGAGAGACAACAGTAATCCACTTCCCAAAGCCTCTACCTACCTCCTCTTAATGGAAAACCTCCAAGTCCTTCCAGTGCAAGTGCCGCCATGTTGCTTAAAGTGCAAAAGTGCTCAATTCAGCATAAACACTACCATGGTCCTTGGTCTACCAACAGTACAGTGCTGCAAGGGTGGGTGCAGGAGTGGGAAGGGGACATGTGTAGCCTGACATCTGTCTAGACTGGCTTCCCTCTTTCCTCCAGAGTTACAGGCCTGGGAGGCTGTGTGGTTAGTGGAGAGGTGCGACTGGTTCTGGGGGTATAAAACAGTAACACGCCAGGTCCTAACTCACCATGCACCTCATCCACTGCCTGCCTCCCACTGCCTGCTCAGCTCTCTAGTCCAGAGGGCTGATTCATCTA